CTTTCAACTCAACAACCTAAACATTATCCAAATCCTTCTATCTTCCTAAATTTAGCAGAATCAACTCTTATCTAAGTCTTAACTGCTCTTTAGCCTATTTAACACAGTCCCTGGCATTCTCTTGCTGAAATACAAATGCTACCTATACAATTTTCCCCCACAAATAGTTCTGTAAGTTTTCTGTTGTAGAAAAAAGGACACCCCCCCCCCACCGGCCTTGGCATGGTATTCTAGTTCTTTCATAATTTGGTACCATCCTGCCTTTATGGCTTAGCCTCCCAACATGTTTTCTGTTTTAGATTCCTTATGTCTTCCTGGGCCCACCTGACACATCCTGCCCTTTGTTATGTCTATGTTCCTTGGTCCCTCAGAAGATTCTGCCTCTGAGAGGGAAGGGATCTCCCCCATTCATCTTCCAATTCTTTTTCACTCACAGAACAGAACTTTTATTAGCTTGTATACTCCATAAACTATCAAACTAAGTTTGTAAATGTGTAGGTGTTAATGTCAGACAATGAGACATTTACAAGTTCATGATGTAGCTGTGCTTTAATTACCTATGAATCTTTTGGTTATTGAATCACACTGGTCATCCACTAGCCTCTGCCCTGCTTTTAAAAATCTAGATTATTGCCACTCTGCTACTGTAAACAGGAAGCTCTCTTTTACCCTCAAGCTTTTCCTAAGTTCCCTCATTTGTGAGCCAAGACTTTTGTGGGAGGCAGAGTAGGAAAGGGATACCTGTCACAAGGTCTCAGACTTGTGGAACACAGAGGGAGGTATTCAGCTGTGGGTAACTACAAAGCCAGCTCTCCTCTCTACCATTCCCCCACCCCACCCCACTCCCAGTAAGCAGTAACCCAGTCTGGAGCTTCAGGTTTCATTTCCAATCATAGTCCAAGTTCTATCTGGAAGGAAGAAGGCTCCAGGCTTGAAAGGGGCCTAAAGAGGCTTGGAGGACACTGACTCGTTACACCCCATTATTTCATTGTGCTTGTTTGTTTGCATTTCAGCAACCCTTACTAGAAGAAGCTGCCCTGACAGAGTGAGGGGGCATTCAAAGGAGTGTGAAAATGGTAGAGAAGGAAATACTTGATTAGAGGTTAATATGTCCCCTGGGCTCCTTTGATTTGGATGATTGTAAAAATGCACACTGTAATGATTAAGCACTCCGGGGGGGGGGTGGAAGGGGTCTCTGCATAGAGTTTGGAATTTGTTTCTGATGAGTTGCAGTTGCTCTGTGTGATGCTGACAGGACCAAATGGAACGCTGAGTAGTTACAAGACCAGAGTGACTGTACTTGCTCCAATGGCAGAGTACTAGGTCATCATCTTCATGCTTAGGAACCATTTGGAGCCAGCCTATCAC